GTTCAGCAGTCTCCTGGGTTTTGTAATTGTAAAATATAATTAAGACATGTAAAGTTTTGGGTCAAGCGATGGATGAGAAGTCATGAAAGAAAATGCATATATAGACATAACTGGGGCTCAGTTATAGAAAAAAATGGGCAGCCTTAGCAATCAATTTGGGACAAATTTTTCAGGTAATCCGGACAGTAGTCCTACATTGCAAGCCTTCAGATTTTTTTTTATGAAGCTAATTCTAAACAGGTAAATAAATCACGTTGCCACTAAAGATTTATTCTGAATACCACAACCCACCCAACTATTATTATTCCAAATATGAACTACACTCACAAAATGCATTAGAGCGCATCTTTAGTTCTCATAAAACCCTATCTGGGTGAGCAGTTGCCACTCCATCCTCAGAGAAAAGCCTCCTCTTGTTACTAATGAGATGTTCAGCTACCTGTGGTAGGCAACCAGCCTTGTGCCACACAAAACAAATACGCCATCCCATCTTTGTGACAAAAAAACCCTGCAGCATTAATAATTATGTATCTTCACATTACAATGATGGTTAATAATGCATCACATTAAGTCCTGCAACCTGACTGTCACTATGACAATATCCTGGCATAGGGTTCCCATTTCACTCACTGATGGTCTTCACTATTCATCAGCAAGGTACCCCGCAGTTAAAGGCATTTAAAAATAGTACCAGGAAAAAGCCACGCAATTTAAGGTGACTGCACCTGAGTGGGGACAGAGAGCAAGTACAATTCATCAAGCAGCAGTGGAATGGGGTGGGGGGGGGGAAGGGGAAAGAATTAATTTAGGGTTGAATTTGCAGAATCTTTCACTACTCTGTTCGGTTTATCACCTACTCTTTTAAAGAAGAAAACCATATTTATGCTATATAAGAGGCTTCCTTGGATTTGTGTGTGTGTCAGGACTAAACAAATGTTTACTTCTCCATCTCCTCACTTCTGGCCCAGCACCTCCTCCTTTCCATGCCTGTAAGCTCTGCAGAGGCCACCTGCGGAGTCAAGGCTGTGACAGCACCACCCAACCCACGGGGACAACCCGTGGACCTCTGACTCCCTTATGCTGCCCTGCCAAAGTGCAGGGCTGCACTGACAGTCAGCATTAAATAGGAATAATGACACAACCCCAGATGCAGCTGCCATTTAAGTTTCACAAACTTCCCAGAAAGCAGCATAAAACAAAGATGGCATGTGCCTTTCTCAAAGATTCTGTGGGAAAAAAAAAATAATAATCTGAGGATGATGACATGGACTCTGTTAAATCAAGAGAAAGTTTAAGTTCCAGTTCCTATTTCCCTTGTGCTTCCACACCTAAAAAAAAAAATCTAAACAAGAACAGAAGAGATCTTTCTTTTCATCAAACAAATACTCAATAAACTGCTTCCCTCATCCTTTCTTCCTTCAATATTTCTACAAGGTGCTTCACCACTCAGAGACGATTTCAGATTGCATGTTACTGTGGAATTTCCTTAGGAGGCATTTATAGTATTCAGCCTCTGGCTTTCTTACTAAATACTTGCTGGGACTGTATTATACCATTCACTTGAGTGTCTCAAGCCTGTATTTCTACATCCTATTGATCCAGAGTAAGTTGCACCCTCATCACATTTAACACCAAACTCATACACTTCTTAAAAAATACTTGCTAACAATACTATGTGAAGGCAAAACACAGTATTATACTTCACAGTATAAAAATATGAAAACATAAAAATATGGTACATTATAGAAATGTGTACATCTTTTTTCTCATTTTTAGATATATTCAACCAGCAAAAAAATGTACCAAGGAAAAAATCCTACTAATTGCTAGTGTAAGACTGCCCTCTAGTAGAAAACTTTCTCCTGAAATATGCTGTCTGTTTTGGGAAAATATATTACAAATTTAAATTCACAAGCTGTGGTCTAATGACATGGTAGAATAGGTTTTACACAGCTAAATAATGAGTGCTACAGCACTCATCCAAGTGTCATGTAGAAAACAGAAGTAAATCTGTAGATAAGAAGAGAACATACAAAGAACATGATAACAAGTAGCATGAAAACAGTATACAGTATTATATGGATCAGCTGGCTCCTCGTGTCAGACATTATGCTCCTTTCTGGTCAAAATATGTCAGAAATAGAAAAAAAACCATCATACTTGAAATAAAAGTGTTTCTCTCAAGAAGCTTGAAAGGGAGTGGCTGTTTATTCCAAAATCGAGATGAAAGATACAGAATCAAAATAGGAAATACATTAGTGAAGAGAGGAAGAGGGATCCAAAAATTCCGTGAGATACTTTGCATAACACAGGGTAACTGTATATTTAATGAGGCTGACAATCATTAAGTTTAAAATGGATAAAAAGAACAGATTTCAAAAATAGGCAGTTTATAGACCCTACCATTACAATACTGTAACGGTATGACGACCATAATGACGGATACCATCAAGGCTCATGAAGACACCTTTCCAATAATAACATAGTTTTATATCCCTGTACTTTTAATGCAATCTAAACGTATAAACTATGTAATGTTTGGAAAAGAGTTCCTTCTGAGGAAGATTATTAACCACACAGTATAGTATATACAACATAGTGTGCCTTTTGCTCTTGAGAAGCATTTGATACTACTGACAGCTGGAAGTTAACTGGACTTTGTGAAACAATGCTACAAAGCTTTTTATGTCCCATGCATGCCCCTGGAATATGAAAACACAGGCAAATTCAGTACAGCTACATTCACCCACATCCCAGACGCAGAGGCCCCTGACCAGGTATCTCACATAATAGGCCTGGAAATTAAATGTGGTGTTAGATCAGAGCTTGTAGCTCTGCACAGCACCAAGATGTGTCTACCCAGGTTGGTGTCTGCACGGGTGTCTTTGCAGTGTGCATGACACAGCAATGCCCTTTGTGTCAAACAAGCCCATCACCTGGACCAAGCACATAGTTGTTTATCTTGATGTTTTTTATATACATGAACAAGTACTGGGGCCAAATGCTTGCTTCATTAAACATAATTAATTTATACAAAAATTAAATACAGTCATGGAAGCAAGTGTCTGCATGAGCCAATAGCAGACAATTGCATGGCTTTCTAGGAAAGACTTTTTTTTAAAACACAGACTATTAAACCAAAATCTGTTTTGCCTTGCATGAGCGTACACAGAACTCATTAGTCCCAGCAAGCACAGGGCACCATTCTTTATCCAGTAGTGTTCAAATATGTACTTAAAAAAAAGTCATGACTGACTGAATACAATGAAGAATACCAGCACACAGGAACTGGGGCAGGTAATTTAAGGAAAGAGTTGAAAGAGGAAAGAACAGGGCTATTTGCAAACCTGGAAAATCTGTCAGATTCTGAAAATGTTGCAGCAATAATGAAATATGAAACAGAACAGGAGCAGCAAGAGGTGGGGAGGGACACAGTGCAAGAGGAGTGCTTGTTGCCTGGGTCCCTGATGACCCCTGTGGCCATCAGGTGTACCAAAGCCATGGGGTTTTGGGAGAGAGACTGACTCAGACTGCTAATCACAACCTGGTTTAAAACAAAAACAAAAACCAAAAAAAGGGTACTTACAGTCCACAGAAAGACTAATTATCTCTTGGAGAACTTGTGTTCTCCCAGCAGCAGAAAGACTGCACATCCATGTTGTCTGACTCCAACATCCAGACAGGACATTTAGTGTTACATGGCTAAATGTCTGAATAACACACTCGCTGGAGCCTGAGCTCATGCTTAAAGAGCAGATGAAGTAATTAGCCAGTCGGGAAACAAGACAGATGAAGAACAACAGATGACTGCCAGTAGACAAGTGCATGACGTACATCACCCTCCACACACAGAGAGGAGCCACAGTCTGCAAAAACCACTGACTTCAGCATGCTGGATGATCTTACCCTACCTGCATAAAGCAAACTTGCTACATGCAATACTGTTCCAGTGAAAAGGACCCAAATGACTGTCTAACCCTTAATAAAATTGTATGACTGTATAAACAGTGATAGTGCTATGCTTGAAGTGACCACCACTGGACAAGTCAACCACAGCCATTAGAGTCACAGTATTCTGCAGCAGTAAATTTTTCAGGATTATATTTTCAGAAATGAAACAAAAAGGGAAATCCAAGGAGTATTCCCTTCCCATCTTTAAACTAAAATGTCTTAGATGCAAGGAGCATTTTTGAATGCAAGAAATCAAAAATCTTGTAGTAGAGCTAAGAAAAATATAGTTAAGTGTTCTGTATTTAAGCAGAGATAATTAATAAGAGGTGACTGAAAATACATGAAACACTCAGTAAACAACTTCTAGTGTCATATTGCCACATCCTTTTATATGTATTTTGTACTTCTCCAGTGACAAGATACAGAAGTCTGCTTACCGAATTGTCTTTCAGCTGCAGACCTTCTCCGTTGGGCAGTGATGACCTCCGTTTTGTTGAAGAGTTCTTGTTTGGTGTAGAATTAGTGCCTCCAGCTTTCTTCTTGACAAAGAGGACTTCACAGCTGGCTTGATCTTCATTGTGCGTGCTCTTCCCCGCATTTATTACCCTAAGAAAAAACAAAACAAAAAAAGAAAACAAGGGACATGTCCGAGTTAGCCAAGCACAGAAGCCTCCATCTGTCTTTCATACGTGACTCAAGATGTAGGGAACCACAGCCCAGAAGTATCGCAAATACCAACTGAATTAAAATACCTGACTTTCTTACATACACACACACACGCATACTTGTCTGTTTTCATACACCTACACATGGCATAACAAGCATTTTTCACAGAACCATGTGAATAAGAACCAATGGTATCATGAGCATATTTTACCCTTAGGCATACCATACTTTTTTTTAAAGGGACTACTTGATGGTCAAGGCTGATAACACTTATGCCTCCTAGTTGAAACATGAGATCCCCAGTTGCTTTTCTACCTGCCAGCCTCTCTGCTACGGTGAGTAATGAATCTGTTGGCTAAGGGTGTGCATTCTGTCAAGCTCTGAGTCTTGCACAAACAAAATACCTGCTATAAATCTAAAAAGCTGTTACTGCTAAAGGCACAGCAAAATAGGCAACTGCTATCAGTCTGTTTAAAGGGCATATATTAGAAATCCTGTGACAGAAATACAAAGGAAGGGCTTTGCCTTATATTCCAGCTTAAAGTCAAGTTTGTTTGTACCACAGCAATACAGGGGGGTGCATACTAAATACACCCCTCTAGTACTGCAGAACAACATAAACAGCTCCCCCCCCGCCCCTCCTGCCCCCCCAAACCTCAAACCCTCAAATCTCTGTCCCACCTGCAGCACAGAGAGCAGAAGATTTGCACCGAGCACTGCCGGCACGCAGAAACCAGCACTAAGAGCTCAGTACAGGCTTCAGACAGCCAAGGGTATCCTGAGACTTGCACCACAACTGCTTATCTTCCTTCTGTCAGTGAGGAAGCTGAAGTAACAGCTATTCCACCACCAACATTTTAAAACCCTATTCAGAAGATTGCATTATCCAAGACACCATGGTTACTATCATCCATCTCAGAACAGCCATGTTCAAACACGCTTTCTACTTTCTACATGAGAACCTCGTCACAAGCTGACTAATTTTGCATCGGTGGACACCATGTTCAGTAAGACACGTGCTTTGACAGTCCTGGGCTCACGCAGGGAAAACCTGTGCAAGCTGGGACCATGCCTTTTTCCAACCAAGCGAAGACATTGCCGCTTTGATGCAAGCATGCCTTCTTCCACAAACACCATCTAACCACTCCTCTTTACTTCAGGTTTGAGTCACCTAACAAGTTGACCGCTAGTCAGAGACAGTGGTTCCACTACTGGGCAAACACCAGGTTTCACATCAGGCACACAGTGTCTTTAAAAACAACTGCTGCCTCCCCAGAAAGTAAAACAGCTTGAAGGCATGTCGTAATCCTGATGGCAAGTTCAAGACATACCTGACTTCTTGATCTCTGATGTTTTCATTACAATAAAATTTTACGTAACAGGAAAACACTTGCTAAAGGTTGTTGAAACGAAAACAAAACCCAAGGAAGGCCTGCAGGGGACTCTGCCCCAGCTTGCCAGCTTGCCTGCTCTTGCTGAAATGTCAATTCTGTGTCAGCCTTGCAATTATTCTGATTTTTGAGAAGCACCATGATACTGTGACATGCAAATGAGTATTCCTGCCTCGGATTAGAAAAAAAAAACAAAAAAACCCAGTCATCTTCAAGAAAATGTGAAGCCACTACAATCAACTGCTTTCAGAAGCTGAAAGTTTCCTTCTTACCGCGCCAAATGTCACACACTGCAGCCTGACATCTGTATGCACAACACCACCAGTTGTTTACAAGTATTTGTTGTAAATACCAACTGCAGATAAAATTATTTTGTGAAACACAGGGAGAGCAGAGATGAAGGAGCACCTTGTTGCAAGGCACCTGTGAGCAGTTTAACCACTCACCCCCTGTAGTGCCTAACCTTCGAGCAACTGGAGATCAAACATTGAGACGGAATAAAATTCCAGTCTGAAAACTCAACATTTTCTTGACATTAGGAAAAACGGAGGCGTATATTCAGAAATGGGGCGTGGGGGAGGACGACACGCACAAATACCAAAGCATTTAAATCAGTAGACCAACACCCCTCCAGTTTGAAACGCTACAAGCATGATTAAAATACTAAAGCGGCACATAAAGTGTAGTTTTATCATATCAGGAGCTAATCAATATTCAGTTAAGCTGAACAGTCTCCTCACTGAGGCTGCTGTTTCCATTTAAAAAAAGGAAGTGGAAGACAGAGACAAAAGCGACTCCTTACAAAAATTGCTGCCTTCCTACCACTTATCACTCCATACAAAAATCACGCAAGTAGTGGAGCTTCTCTGGTTTCTGAGCTTAGTGATGGACTTCAGGACTTGTATGGCAGGAGATGTTCTGATGTTTAATGGCATGTTAAGCTGTGCACAATATGGTATCATTTTATAAAGCACTTGCCAAGAAAATTTGTCAAGGCACTGAATACATTAGAAAGGCTACGAGAACAAAGTGACCTAACAGACTGGCTTGGCAGTCAGCTACCGTGAAATGCCGGGGTCCAACCTGCGTACCAAGCACCTTGCCAGAAGAGGATAAGGTCAAAAGGAACATGGCAAGGCTGAATACTGAGAAGATGTGGGGCTTGGGGTGTCATTGTATTGAGGTGGAAGGACTGGGGCTGTGAAAAATACATTCCCTCCCAGAATTTCACTTTATCTCCCAAAATTCCAGTTTTCCTCTCTCCAACAGAGGATTAAGTCCATTTTGGAAATCCTTGTGAAAACTTGAACTAATCATAGCGTCAAAACTGCTCATGGGTGCTACCAGGTAATGCAGGGTCTAGATACCAAAAGCTGCCCCTCTCCTGACACAGGCACTCTTCTGCTCTCACATCCCATCTCATACGCACACTTTCGAAGAGGGCTGCAGTGAAGCCCTTGATTTTTAATCTCAAAGCTTGAGCCATGCGTTGGTGCCTAATGCCTAGCACAGAAGCTGGTAACACCTTCTACTCAGCTTCAAACATCTCTCTTGTCTTTGCCGCCTTCTGAAATCCTCTTCTCTCTGCAGCTTTTTAAATCCCTCCTCAAGGCAATTCTTTCCACCAGCTTTCCAGTGCTGATTTTACTGTTGTCTTCCTTGCTCTCCCAGACTGTAACTTAACGGGACAAACCCCACATCTAAGCTGCTTATACAAGTAACAAAGCAGAACTAACAAGGTGTTCATACCTCCGAAAGGGAACTCTTAATTAGACCTCTGAAAATTTTTATGGAAAGTCAACCATCCCCTTCCTTCCACAGAGGAAGTGCCTCAGCTTCCTAAGATTTTCAGTTCCCCTTCGTATCTCTTTTTCTGTCTGCCTTGAAAAATAAGTTATCCTCCAGTAAAGAAAACAAAATGAGATAAAGCACTACCTTCTCACACTTAATAAAAACCCCCTCCAATCACAGTTATCCTCCCCTTTCATTTTATCATGGATGAAAATAATAATAATAACAACATCATGCAGAGAAAAAGGAATTAAAAAAAGTGAGGCCTATGTGATTCTCTAGCTTTTACTTGGAGACATGTTTTCAAGGGAATTCTTGCTTTTGTTTTCTCTCCCCATAATTCCGCAAGGAACTGTTTGATTAGACCTAATCATGATCAACTCCTTTCCATCCCTCCCCTTCTCTCCCCCATTACCTGTTTATCTCCTAGCCAATCTTTGTTACAAAGTTCAACCCAAATCACATATCTAATTTGGATTAGAAGCTCCTCTTTTTACAGCATTAGCTGTCTCGATGACGTCAAACACACATTGCTCAGTAATAGCTAAATAATCCTGAGGTTTAGTTCATGGTATTGCAGTGCTAGTAAAAATACATCCTACTTTGCAAACAGGAGCTTCCTGAAGCCTGCACGGTGAGGTGGTGGGGTTTGGTCACATTTGAAGAAGAGGTACTCGCATCAACCTTGATGGATGCTCCAGTACTTTATGAGACTAATCTCTGACATGTCCTCAGCTGAAAGCAAATCCTCCAGATAGGAGCCAGCTCATTTGTTTGGCTCACAATTAGCATTCTGCTGGTATCTCATGAGACCCCAAATCCCATCCGACTGAATGGAAATGTAGGTCACACTGTGCTTCTGTTCTGCATTCAACAAGCAGAGCTGAAATTCCTGTGCTGAGGTCACCGATGACAAAATCCGAAGTTTATCTTGAAAGAACCAAAACACACCATATGAGCAAATCCAAAACAGGTTTTGATGTTTCCTGACAAAAAAAAAAAAAACCAAAACAAAACAAAAAACAAACAACGCCCCACCAAAAACCCCAACCAAACAGATCAAGTCTTTTGAAGCATTTCTATTCAGCTCTCTATAGATCATATTGATACCAGTACACACACTCCTTGGTTGTTTTACTCCTCCCTATATTGTGCTCATTGAGATTACATTAAGTTGTATACGCTTCAGCAAAAGTTTCAAGCTGTGCTGCAGGAGAAGTGTTTTACCCTGGTCTAGACCTCAAACTCTGAAAAAATTCAAGTAGTTGTCCAAGTACTTGCATTTTTTTAAACTCGCAAGTCTAGCAAAATTTTGTATGTAACATACCTAGATAAAATTAACAGGCAAAGTCAAAGAGCTCAGCAGAAATTGCATGATAACACCAGTGCACAGAAAAAATGCTTTTTGAAATTTAAGGACTAAGAGAGCTACAAGAGCTTGGGGAGTTATGTTGCACCAGGAGAAGCGTGGGAACTGGCCACGCATACACTCTAGACCTGACTGAGCTAAGAAATAAAACCTGTAAGCAGGGAGCCCAACCTACTCCCTCAGTTTAGTTGAGCTTTGGGGTAACTTACAACCACCTGTGACCATGGGAGGCCACCCCAAATCCTACCTGCTTCTCCTCACCAAGGCACAGTTCCTCTCCGCACTACTGGAGAGCATTCCCAGTTCCACCTCCTCTATAAGGCCTGTTCCGAGGGTCAAGACACACTACGCAAGCACTTCCAGAGCAAAGGTCTGGGCACCGTGTGCTCGTACCATGTAGGTTAAGGCTGAGGCTGTGTGTATTATCTGGGTAGCCCACAGGGTCTGACACTGGAACATCAAA